CTGATTTTCAATCATCTTTCAAGTGGACTATGCAAACTGCAGCCAGAAGGCGCAAGCATCCGACAGAATGGTTGTACGTCTGGCACACTTTGGCATCGCAATGCTAGGATTGTATGCTGTCCTCATGACTCGCAGGTTGGCGAGCTGACACTCTTTTTTCAGTGATTAAAGTGACACAGTGAAGTAAATACTGGGATCAATCTCCCTTGCTCAAGGGAATTGGCAGTTAATTTAAAACAAGTTCCGCGCCACGCAGAAAATTCGAACTCTGCACCCGTCACGTCAGGGTGTTCGTTGAGATAATCACCTTTACCAGGCGCCTAAGCAGAGCAGTTCTGGTTTATGATGTCCTCTGTGCCGGCAGCTTGTCAACACTTTTGCCCCAAGGCAGCGGAAAATGTATCGAAGAAGGAAATATTCCTCTCTGAAAACAGATCTGCCTCAAAAACGCTCTTTCATTTTGCATGCTCGCCCGTTGGTTGACGACTGCCGTGGTTTGGCTCCCATAAATATGTAATGTTTACGTAAACATAATAATGTATACTCAAACATCTTGTCTAATAAAGCCGATTTCATTTTCTTAATCTGCACGTCCACCGAGGTTCTTTTGAACACTCTTCGCTATTCTCCCTTTTTGGCTGATTTGTCGACCATCCTGCTTTCCTGACAAGTCAAGGTTTCCTGTCCCGCCTGTAGCACTGATTGACTGTACGAACGATGAACTACCTTCGATGGTGCAGTGTAAAGTTCCAAGTACTCCATCTTTGCATTGAGTCCTCTGCACTCTAAGGACTTGGGCTTTCTTCATAACCCAGGGTAATTTGGGCTATTCTTTTCATTATCCCATTTATGCTATTTTTGCCAAGTACATGACGGCATATTTGAAGTTTTTGTAACTTTCATCGACGTTGCCACTTGCCAACTGGACGGTAAGGGCGACATTAACATAGATCTGTACAATTTTGGTAGGCTTATCGGCTGGTCTTTCATATTTAAGCCTGTCAATATCGAGCAGCTGATGTGCTTCAACCAGGGAGCGTCGATGAGATACGATCAATTCTAGCCGAACTTGCGTAATGGCCATATAGTGGTCAGACCCAATGCAAGTGCCAGGCCTGACGCGAGCCTCAAGTAGCCAGCTGAGCCATTTGCGGTCGATGAGGACATGGCCCAACTCGTTGTTTAGGCCTCTACGAGGCAACGTGCAGGTTGTTTGGTGAATGCGCTTATGAGGAAAAAGATTCCCGACTATGATTCAGTTGTTTGTGACGTAAACGCATATCAAATGCCTGCCATTGTCATTCACGCTATTAATATTGTGATGGCCACGTGCCCCCCCCCCACATTGACCTTCGCGTTGAAGACGCCTGTGACTACTGTGACGTTGCGATGCGGCAGAGTGCTAACTGCCGATTTCATACTGTCATGGAGTCTTTATTGCTGTCGCTTTACACATTTGTGCTGTCATAGGCGACAGTGACACCCACTGTCACCTGTTAGACATTGACATGACAGACTAGAATTCTTCGGACACATGTTTCGCTGAAATGACCGTCCGGCTTACTCTGTGGGACATGAGGTCAATGATTAGTCCACTGTTTCTTTATCATCAAAATACCACGCTTTCTGTAGGTCAGACATTCTCTTTCCAACGAAGCTAGCGTTTGTGACTGCCAGTACAGTAGTTTGTATCGACTAGCCGTACGGTAGACATAAACCATGCTTACCAAATTGAGGATGGGTTCTCAGCAAGAATGTGAGGTGCTTCGCCCTTGAAACGTCACAATTTCACATGTTCTACTGAATCATTTCCTGTTTGCTGATGATCTCGTCATTTTCGCTTTGCTCTATGTTGCCTCCACCGTAAACCGCGACCTCGATTGTTTTGCTACTACATCTAAGGGAGTAAAGACGATTCGAGTGATTATATCTTTACATCGTGACAAAACTTATGCAAGCCTCCGGCACAGAGAAAACAACAGCTTTGATGATATCTTAAGAACCTGGTATGAACGTACCGTCAGTAAATATATATAGCTTGCCGTTTATGAAAGTTGGTAACATCAACCGAATCCTTGGTCCTGCGATAAACGGTTTAGTACCTGTATTATATCAATAAAGTCTTACACAAGAATCAACCAACGATGTCCAGTACGTACCTTTTAGTTCATGTGGGATCCGTTATTTTGTTATCGCAATTATTATTAAATTCTAGCAAAAATAATTTAAAGTAACTTTTTGGTATGATAAAACGCTTCAGTAAATGTTCTCGAGTTGGTAGGACCAAAATTTCTGCTACATCTATTTTCAGACGGCCAGCAAATACGACTCCAACCAAGCTCATGATTTGCTGGAATGGATCAAAAAGGTAACTGGGGAACAATTCGACACGGACGGAAACAGGGACAACTTTCAAAAGGTTCTGAAGGATGGCGTTCTGTTGTGCAAGTTAGCAGCTTTCGATACGGCTGTCTGGTGGTCAGCCCCGCCCCTCGTTACTTACTGTATTATACTGTAGGCTGATTAATGCGCTTCAACCAAACACAATCAAAAAAATTCAAAAGCCGATTTCGAATTTCGCTTGCATGGAGAACATAAACTCGTTCACTGAGGCGTCGAAAAAATTTGGAGTTCCAACCGAGGAAACGTTTCAAAGTGTCGATCTGTTCGAGAATCGTGATCTGTACTCAGTGTGCGTGAACCTGCTTTCATTGTCCAGAAAAGTAAGTCTAGACATCTTTTTTTACTAGAATTTGGAATCTCTGAAGAACGACGGTTTATCGTTTCAGATCAGAACACAGTTTCAAGGTTTTTTAATCAGTACCAAACAGTGATTTAAATGTTTGCCATAAGATAGTTAAGAATAACTTTAATTTTTCTCGTTATTTAATATGTAAGGTCTGAGGCAAAGCGATAATGAAAGTTAATTCGCAAGGTTTTGATTTTCATGGCATATCTGAAGTTCATCAAGTAAAATAACAAACATCATAGTGCATTTCAAGGTTATGTAAGACAGATCTTCAAGTTCACTTGTGATAGACAGCTTCTTTTTCTCCCTCGAACAACATTGCAAATTGCATCCTCGCTATTACCACCTTTTTCATTGAATATTATGCCCTTTTATACTGCTATATGAATGGACTTTTCGACTAACAGATTTAAACACATTTGCACACCCATACAAACATGAATGAATGTTTTTACGTCATGTATGCTCTACAACTGCTGAATATTCTATGCAACGTAGTTGCAGCATAACAACTACAGGCGACTGAATCGGTTCCACTTCACATTCATTCTCTCATTCTTCTTCTAGATACTTAACTAAACTCGGCTTTAATATTTATTTCAATTCAGGGTGGAATCCTTATTCCAGAAAATTCTAATGTTGTCTATTTGATGAATTTTTAAAAAGCAGTATAAGTGCTACGTAGGTCAGAGTTCTAGAAAATTAGATGTAAAGTATCGAAAAGAGCATTATGTTCGATAAAGCTGATATTTGGATCATGGATAGGAATTCGAGTCGTTTGGATCTCTCAGTTCAATTAATTCAGTCGTCCAGCTGCAAACAAGTCTGACACGTGCTTTCAGTATTCACTCTCATATGAAGCAGACAAAAATGGGGTTGCAAATATTAATGCTGTTTGAGGAACAAAGTGAAGTTGACTGTCGTCCTTGAACGTGAAAATCTGTCTCGCATTTTCTTGAGCTGTAGTATTTCATTTGTTATTTTATGACGTTGCGGGTTGTTCCATGGCGAAAGCATTGTAAATTATAAACTGATGGCATCGTTTGTGTTTTAAGCCTTAGTCAGTGAAGAAGAAGTAAAATTAAATACCAAACGGATCATCGAGAAGCGCTCCACGAACAATCTATTTAAATAGTATAAATATTGAATAAATTAATGAAATGCTGCACAGACCGGTTAGAAAAGGACTTATATGCAAATACCAGAGAAAAGAAGGATATGTTCAAGTGAACGTTTGGGGAAAAAAGCCCCTAACGTGATTGTGATAAAAAGAAGGGCGTCAGGTAACAAATAAATCTATTTCCTGTGAAGAATTCGCCCAGCTGCTAGAGTCGAATCTTCATTTGGCAAACAAGGAATTCTGGCAGACCACTCACAACCCAATACATGGAGAGAAGGCCAGTTTGAGAGTCTTGAGGGACACGTCTGGAGACCTTTTTATTCAGAAAGAGAATATACTTAATGATTGAGAGAGTGCCTTGAGGAATTCTTTATCCCGAACAATCAAAAGAAGACTCGAAAACAACTCATATTAGTTTTCAATAGACGAAATCACAGAAATTGTAAAGGGCTTGAAAAACGGCAAAGCATCTGGAATCAGTGAAATCAGCACTAAGAAACTTAAGGCATTGGACAAGCAATTCATGTTGTGGTTAGTACATGTGTGTCAGATTGCAATGACGTCGGAAAAGACTCTAGTTGAATGCCTAACTGCGGTGATACTAGCTATGTTCAAGAAGAGAGTGCTCCAATAATCGGCATTGCTTCACTGAACCTCCCGGGAAAGGTTTATGCAAACGTGTCTGAAAGCATATTTTGCCTCTGAGACACAAGAGGAGCTCTATGGTTTCCAGTCAGCGTGCAATGGATATGTCCGGATCTTCTCCTTTTGCCACATTGTCGAAAAATCAATGGATTTCGCTCATACGGTTTACATGTGCCTTGTTGATTCCGAGAAGGATTATGACCGGATCCCACGCAACATGCAATGTATGTGCCTACTGTCATTTGACATCGGTGGCCAGTAACCGCAATTTAATCACTATATCTTGATAACAGATGCCGCGCCAGAGTAGATGACGTTTTCGAGACTTTTCAGCCTAGGCAGTGGTTTCCGCCAAGGTAGCGTCATATCTCCCCTCCTGTTTGTGTTCTACATGGACAGAATGGCCAAGGCAATAAGCGCATCGGTGTCAGAGGTGTCGAGATGAGGAGGTTACTGTTTACAGACGACCTCCTTTGTTAGCATCTTCTAAAACTGATCTACAGTGCTCCCTAGAAAGATTCGCAGCGGAATGCGACCGGGCAGTCAGTGTGAAAAAATCTTAATGAAAAGCCTAGTGCATTTTTTCTCTTGCCCGTTGCTCTCTTCAGATTAATGGTGAGGCAGTGGAGAAGGTGGAAAAGTTGAAGTACCTCGGGGTGATGGAAAATATGAGGAACAGATTGATTAACGAATTGGAATGGCAAGCGGTGCTCCGCGTGAGTTAGCCAAAACCGTTATGACTTAAGCAGAGCTGAGTCTGAAGACTAAACTCTCTGTGTTCAAGTCGATTTTCGTCCTCATACTGATCTTTGGTCATGAATTGTGAGCTGCGACTGCAAAATTGGATATCGAGTAC